TAAGTTTATTACATCTCACGTGTAAGCATTTGATTCCTTTACCTTAGAGGTAGTCCATATAAAAGCTTGAATGCATAAAATAAAAGAGCATTCATTTTCAGACAATTACATTGTCCACATGGATGTGAAGTAGAGCGTTAAATAGCACTGTGCTGGAACAGTTTTTTCTCTTTTGGTACAATACTCTTTGAGTGTACTTTTTACAAAACTTAATTACTCTTTGACATGCAATTATTGTGGAAATTCAACGATATTATAGGTTTTTATCTGTCTGTACTCGTACTCATACATACATATTATACATGATACATTTACATATATATATATATATATATATACATACATACTTGTTATTTTTTCTTTGCCTATTTATAGATGTAACTTTATCAATATATATATATATATATATATATATATATATATAATAAAATTGTAACTAAACCGAATCTGTACAATAAATATTTTTTTGGAAAATATTATTGAAATAGACATTATTATCGATACAGCGGCCTTGTCTGTCTGTCTGTTACCGCATCACAGAAAACCCACTGGAAGGATTTTGATAAAATTTGGTATGATGGTAGCTGGTTATCCGTGTCAACATATAGGATACTTTTTACTGCGGGAAAATATCTCATCCCTGAGAAATCTTATCTAAACGGTAAAACCTAACTAGGAATGAACCCGAGCGGAGCGAGGGTGGGTTGCTAGTAATATCAATAAAATTGAAGTATCTGTTTGTAATGTGAAAATAATAGCTCTTTACTAAATGCATATGAAATTATGTCTAAAACGTCTTATAAAAATAAAAACAAAATTTATAAAATTTCTGTCTCTCTGTCTATCTGTCTAATTTCAAAAATGGCCTTTTATTGGCAGTAGCTGATGTTATAAGGTGTAACTGAGGCTACTGCCTACTTTTATTTTAGAAAAAGAAGTAGGATTCAAAAAAATTTAAAGCTGAGCGAACCAAGGGTAAGTCGGTAGTATTTGCAGAAGCCGCGGGTCCTGCTAGTAATAAATAAATAAAAGAATAATCGCTCAAAATATAATGTAGTATTGAGTTTCGAAGTAATAATATTTCAAAAGATGAAATGAATATGAACAATAAATTATGTATCAAATTTATTAAGCGATATCATTACGGAACAAATGTTTCTGTACTCACTTTCCCTAGCGGATACACATTCCAGAGCTAATATAAAATTCTCAAAGGCCGTTCGTTACATAGAATTGTTCAGAAACAAAGATTTTGCTTCAACTTGTTTTGTATTAAAATACACCAAATCTTTTGACGATTCGATTTCTCCATATCAGTCAATTCCTGCACATGGAAAAATGTGACATATATAAGATTATAAGTAACACGTAATCTAATACTTTCTTAGATTTACGCGAATATTTGACATTTAAAATAAAAACAATCTTTTCGGATTTTCGCGGATTTATTTTGATTTTTGGTTCCTGAAGTTTCGAATGCTTTAGAGCAATCATAGTCACGGAAAAGACTAAGGTTTTAGACGTCTCAAAGGTCTTTATAAATATATTTGTTACAGACAGTATCTACCCACAAAATTATACAAAATTTTGTACATCAACACTATACCTACCTATATTATAATATCTACATATGTCATGAGTAATAAGAATATAGTAAAAAAAAATCGCATAGACTAAAATAGGTTTAAGACATTATATAAAATTAATTCTTACAAGAGCAAATTTTTAAATTAAAAATGATGATTGCTCATAATGCCTTGAAGAGGATAAAAAACGTTTTTCACCGAATTCACGTGAGATATTTTCATTTCTGTTCCTTTAAGACTATTTTTCTTTTAATAAGAATTAGATATAATAAAATTCTAACTGTGAGTTGAATCTGTACATTAAATATTTTATGGAAAATCTTATTGAAATAGCCATTATTATCGATACAGAGGCCGAATCTATAATAGTTATTAGTATTTTTGTCTGTCGGTCTGAAAACGCATCACGAGAATACCACTGGATAGATTTTGATGAAATTTGATTATTTTGGTATAGGATATTTTTACTGTGCGAAAATATCTCTGAAAAATCTATACTAACAGTTCAAACGTATCTAAAACGAACCCGAGCGGAACGAGGGTGAGTCGATAGTTATTTTATAAAGCTTTAGCTAAAATAAATCGTAAATATTATAATCATTTATCATTATTACAATTAGGCACAACTACAAAGCTAAGCCGACTTTGACAAAAAACGCCGTCATAATAAAAAAGGCCCTTACTAATAATTTGGTCAAAAATGACGTAATTGCAGATTCGGAATCAGCAAAAAAAATCTACTTGATAGTCTTACTCATAAAGCTCTAGTTCTTATGAATCCGGAGATACCATAACCATTTTCATCGTAACCACATACGTCAAAACTAGTAGCAATTTTGACGTAGTATTAAGACAAACCTTCAAATATCTCGAAATCAACTTTGACGAAGTTGCGGCCTTCTTTTTTATGACGACAGTGTGGCTAAACTGAGGTTTAAACCCAAGACTTTAAAATTTACAATCTTATTAACTAAATGCTTTAATATATACAAAAATCATATATTACCCGTCTAATGGCACTGTAATCGCAAGAACATCACCAATAAACTCGATTTCTTACACTTTTAAAACAATTTTAATTGCACCCCATAAATTCTTAAGTGCTAATATCTTTCAATTTGGCGCGTTCCGTAATCTTGACGATTAATCTAACGGGGAAGTAACTGCAATAGTAATCAGTTATGGCAAATTGTGAATTATCGTCTGACATTAGCGTTGGAATGCATTTAGCATTTGATCTTATGCAAAAAAGTTAAAAATAAGCAAGTAAAACTGTAAAATTTTTAGGTTTGAACATAGAAATATGTTTTAATTACATAGGTACTTACCATCGCTTTGCTCAATACGTTCCTAGGTATGAATATTTTTGGACTTGATATAGTAATATCGACTTTTGTATATACCCATAATATAAAATGTATGCAGTACCACATTTTGGCAATTTTTATTGCTAAGAGTAGCTTATGTGTTACGGATTAGTCTTTGTATACTTTTCATCAAAATCCGTACAGCAATTTCACCGTGATGGAGTAGGAACAAACGTACAAACATATAAATTTTGATATAGTATGAAAATCGAACTGTTTTTTATCAACTAAACAGTAAAGACAATACAACAATTGTATGGTCAAAGTTGAATCTGGAAACTAAGTGTTTTTTGGAAAATCTAATTGAAATAGATATTTTTTATCGATACAGAAACCGAATATATATGTAGTTTTTAGAATTTTTGTCTGTCTGTCTGTCTGTGATCGCATCACAAGAAAATCACTGGACAGATTTTGATGGGTATGATGATAGCTGGTTATGCGGGTCAACATATAGGATACTTTTTACTGTGGGAAAATATCTCATTTCTAAGAAACCTACACTAAACGCAACTAGGGACGTACACGAGCGGAGCGAGGGTGAATCGCTTGTATTTATATAAAAACGGAGAATATTCAATGATACGCGCACACAATAATCCCTGGTCTGCCTAAACCCGCCCATAAACATGTCAGTTACATTTAGAGATCAGCAGCCATAAATTTGCTAGATATTTTGCGAAAACATTCGCAAATAAATATTTTTAATATTATGATTTATTAAATAGTTGTTGCACATGATCTTGCGTAGCTCATATTATTTATGTATAACAAAATTAGAACTAGCAGAGCATAGATAAAACTAATTTAACTAGCTACTCACCCTCGCTTCGCTCGGGTTTGTCCCTGATGAAAAGCTAAAACGAATCTATCCCACGGGAACCGTACATTTGTCCGGGATAAAAACTATAATAAATGATCTAATCTTATAAAATCTATGTGCTATTCCAGACTATAATCTATCTCTGGGCCAAACATCCAGATCCGATTAGTGTTCTGGCGTGATTGAGTTACAAACAACTTCTCGCATTTATAATATTAATGGGAATACGTTTTGGGAATTAAAAAAAAAATATAAATATTTTCTGCACAAGTCAAAACTCAATATTATAACATTAATTGATTACAGGTAATAAAATTATGGTCTAGAAGTATATTTGCTAGTAGAGAGTATCATAATTAATATGTTTTTTTAGAAAATTAATATACCTACATTAATTTACATAATAAAAATATAAATAATAAAGGAAATAACAATTTTATTTAATTATATTATATATAAAATGAATGCATAATTAATTATTACTGTTCAACTGTGCGATATTTAATTATAAAACTTATTGAAATTATAAAAAAGGTTTTTAATAAAAATTGTAAAGTATTTTTGTGCAATTTTGGTAATTTTTAAAATCACTGTATAATTTTGTGGGTAGGTGCTGTCTGTAACAACTATAGACCTTTAAGACGTCTAAAACCTTAGTCTCTCCCATGACCATGATTCCTGTAAAGCATTCGAAACAATAAAAAGCATTGGAAGCAACTGCAAAATGAAAAAAAAAATAGTTTTATTCAAAATAACTTTCTAACAATATTTTGTAAAATTGTCACTTCAAAAAAAAACGGCACAATACATTCGATTTCTTCACTTCCAAAGCTTTTGAAAATGTAACAAAAATATAAAATATATGGTATATGTAACGAATATTCTTAAATTATACACCAGTGCTGTTTTTGTGAACGTAGGTTAGTCTACTAATGATAAATGACGCTTCAATTCTATATTTTAACCTGACCTTTGAGATATATTTGCAATAATCTAGGTCGAGTTGTCAGAGAAACCAATTTCAGACAGCCTATACATTAGGAAATAATCGTAAAGTATATATTATAGACATATATCTAACATTTTTTTATTAGCTTTGTATACATAATAATAATTTCCTCTCGACTGATTCCGGCCACGGCGGCCAATATCATTGAAGCTAGCCAACTGCGCAGGAGATTTTATAGTGCACAAGTGTACGCGCAGACACAAGTGCACTCTCTAATCTCTATTACTGTCACTCTCATACTCCGGTGGGACGATACTTTGACACGACCGATGAAAGTTAAGGCGCAGGACTGACTTTACGTGCTCTCCAAGGCACGGGGGTGAAAAACCACCAACTTCCCAACTACGGGCTGTAACTGAGAAACAGAAAGACTCAATAACTAAACTTGGCCCAACCTGAAATTCGAACCCAGGATCTTCGACTGTGCAACCGTACCTGCTAACCACTGAGGTAGTTTTGTATACATACACATTACACATGTACATATGTATGTTTGAACCTCTTATGACGTCCCACGGGCATACGGGCACATATATATGGGCACGGGCCTCCTCTCAATGCGTGAGGTAATAAATTGAAATGATGGAGCTCATATTCCTTTAAAATTCCGATTATATACTAGAATTAGATATTTAGTTTCACATCACACCCTCAATAGTTATTCTTAAAGGTTATTTAAACTTTAATAATATATATATATATATATATATATATATATATATATATATATATATATATATATATATATATATGTTATAATAACCTTTCTATTTTTTACATATAAAATCAAAACGACGATTTCAAAATAACACTAAAGTACAAATTACTTACACCATACAAAAGCTCAAATATGCTATCTCCGAAACGGCTAAGCCGATTTTGACGGGACTTTCATCGTTTAATAGAGCATGCGAGTAAAAGTGGCGTTATTCATTTTTAATCAACGTAACACGCTTATAATATTAGCTAAACATAAAATAAATTAAACTAAATATTCACTTTAAACAACCCAGTCACATATCCAATGTATCACATGGATCGTCATTTTCTTATCATCACGTTTATCTAAAATTAGCTGTACCCTACTTTCGAACGTGTATTTTCATTTAGTCTGAAACTACCGCATATAATTTTTGCTTTTTAGAAAGGCACAAAATTGTGAAATAGAAATTGTGTAAATGAATTTTGTGTAGATGGTAAAAACTAGATAGTCTGTTATATTTTTCATAATTTAATTGATTTAAAATATATAATTATTTATAACTGTATACACAATAGATTTTTGAGACGGGACAGTAAGGGACTTTAACCGTTATAGTTACAGAAAAACGAGTATGGAGACCATCCATCACATTTTGAGATATTCTGAACTGCATTCACAGATTTTGGGAAAAATGTACAGTCAGCAAAAAAAATATGATAAAATACCAAAAACAAATTTATGCCAATCGATCCTATTTCATGTAGGGATCAAAATAATCTATGGGACCATTTAAGGTATGAGTACTAGAAATGACAGAAATCGCCAAAAACTTTTCCATTCCATTCTATTAGTATTATTTTTTTGAAGTCAGTTTAATTTTTTTAAATAACTTTTTTATTAGTATGAAATAATATTAGTCCCGCTGAGTTTCTTTCGCCAGGTCTTCTCAGGTCTGAGGCTTCTTCTTTTCGGACTGGTAGTAGACTTATGAAGTTCAGAAAAAATTGTAATAATTTAATGCTGGATAAAATATTTTGAATTCGAATTCAATATTCTTTAGTAGTATTAAATAGCTTTAGCGTTATCAATAAAAAAAATTAATTTCGATCACTGGACGAACACTATTCTAAATAAAATACAGATTACTATACTTCAATCCTTTGCAAATGAATCAGCGTTTTAAAAACAAATAAGACCATGATATTAACTCCTGTTTAGTGTTAGGGATTATTTTGTGCCTAAACAATTAATTCTAAACCTTAAACTATAGGTACAAGGTTTATTTTACTTTATCGTATATACTTTGAAGAAGGATACATCGCCTCGTTGGTTGGTTCGCTTCATTAATCTTAAAGTTATCAGATCTATTTTTAAACTCATGTGATATATTAGTGTCAATAAAGATTTTTATACGGATCAAGATTAGATGAAACTATCTAGGCTACAGATCTGGAGGTTCTGGGTTCGAATCCCGATTTGAGCTAAGTATATAGTTATTTGAAGTCATACAGAAATTCTATAGAAAAAAGTTTTTTCATTTTAATTTCAATTATATTTACCAATTTTTCAGGCTACGTAATCAATTTTTCCACCTGGAAAACTTATTAAATTTTTATGAACGGTTAAAAAAAATAACCAAATCGACTCAGCCCTTTTTAAGTGAAGCTTACTTATGAACAGCATCTCATTTTGTTATACCTACATATTGATGACGCTACTACATATTCGTTAAATTTAAAACATTTTTTGTATTCCTCATAACGAAATTACCTTATTGAATTGAATATTTCATTAATTTTAGTGTTAAGGAATTCTACAAGAAGTAAACCCGCGGTAATTTACTAGTACTGTATTATATTCTATTGTATTGGGTTCAGCCCTTTGTAACGTTCCACTGCTGGTCGTAGGCCTCCCTTTAACACGAGGGGTACCACGCTGGCCAAGTGCGGGTTGGCGGACTGCACATGTCCTTCGAAAACTTGCTTGGTTCTCTCAGACATACAGGTTTCCGCAAAACATTTTCCTTCACCGTAAGGCAAGTGGTAATCATGTCGAAAATGTTTCGCACATGAAAATATCTAAGATGCGAGACCTAAGATTTGAACCCGCTTCACTCGGTTACCCAACCGTCGCGCTACCACTGGTCTACTACTACCTTCGAATATAATTAAAGTAAATATTCTAGTACACACATAAAAAATGAAATCATAACAAGTATTTTTAGTTCAAAGTGATAGATATATTCAAGGTAATTCCATCATCAAAGAGCATTAAAATCTAAAACATTTATTTGAGATGTTTATATAATACTCTAATATAACCAGAAGCGTTGCACAAACAGTAAATGCCAGGGAGTTAGTAGTATGGATTGCGATAATTATGTCAGAAAGATCTCTTCCAGATACTTGCTAACTTGTAATGCTAAATACAAGGGATTTAACCGCTAATTTAATAAATCAGTGTTAAATGTTAACTGTTTCTATGGAAATGGTATGATAAATATCGCTATCTGACCTACTATTATTGTTTAGTCAGTTTTTGTGTGTGTTTGTAAGTATGTTTGTTACGTCTACCTAATCTTACCTGAAAAACATGTTAAAACGGTTTGACAGATTTGGAGGTAGTACACATATAGAGAGAGTATGACCTGGAGTAATACCTAGATAATTAATAATAAAATTTTGCCAAAGGTGACTCTATTTAGGTATACGAGTATATTGTGAATACAAAAGGCAAACATACACACTTAATATAATCTTTACCATTTACAATAGCGGTCCGATTGTGCTTATTACCTTTCTTAGTAGAATTTTCGTTGATTTGAATAATCGCGTAATACGAGATTAGTTGGACTGTTATCAATTTACTTTTTTATTTATTTAGTATGTAGATTATAAGATTTTGGGTTTGAATCCATGTCAGATTAAAAGTGAAAGTGGAAAGAGAAAAAAATCTAGGAATTGGTATTTGCGCACACTTATATGTAATACATACATTATCTTTCACGTAAATGTCCAAAATTAGTGATATTGACCGCATTGACCACAATATCGACTACGCTGGTATTACTCGTTGAAAATAACCACACTAAAAGAGTCTCAGGTTTATTAAACAGTATCCAAACTCACTTACCTGTGTATGCGAGTAGAACATTGAGAAATTAGACACGATGACTGGCACAGGAAGAGCTATCGTCAGTACTCCGGCTAACGCGCACAAGGCCCCCACAAACATGCCCAGATACGTCTTCGGAGCCATATCTCCATACCCCACTGTGGTCATGGTGACGATGGCCCACCATAGACCGAGTGGGATAGATTTGAACTGGTTGTCTGGATTATCCTGAAAAGAAAATTTTGGAGTTATAACCACAAAGATTTAGTTAAAATATTTAGTTCTTTTTTTCTGTTTTATTTTAACTTTCAAGAAGAATTAAACCTAACCTAAAAACTATATCTATATCTATACTATTATTATAGAGGAAAGATTTTTTTGTTTGTTTGTTTGTACCGATTCAACTCCAAAACTATATTTTCTATATGGACTTTGCCACAGCCTTTAGACGTCTTAGAGGTTAATTTTTTTAAAAGCTTCAGCACTATAAGACAAAACTTTCATCTGGACTATTTTTCAATACATTTTAATTCATATTCGTAAATAACGCACTCTTAAAGATAGAAAATGGCGTTAAAGTTATGAAATTGTTTAAGTAATTTGATTCGGAATTACTGTAAGCAGCAAAGGAAGCACTTAATATTTACTTCGCAAACCACAATTGCGCTCAAGAATGGAAACTTAAGGAACTTCAAAATAACTTCCAATTTAATGTACTTGAAAAGTTAGATTGTGTTTACACAAGCTGCTTAAATGTTTCAGATTTTGTAATATTTAAAAACTTATTTTCGGTATAAAATCCTTACTTGTATTCCACTTTTTCCTACAGGCATCTATTCAATAGGAGGATATAGGTCATAACCCACTACGCTGTTCTAGTGTGGGTTGCTGGACTTCACAATATGTCTTTCGATAACTTAACTCTTATACATGAAGGTTTTTTCACAAGGTTTACATTACATTATCGTAAGGTAAGAATTAATTATGTTGAAAATGAATCGCACATGAGTTTATATATATTTATTCGAATGCTAGCGGCTCACCCTCGCTTCCCTCGGGTTTGTCGCTAGGTACGTTTTAAATAGATATAAATAGTCATTAGACAGCGTTAGCCATATAAATTTTAATTATTTTTTTCGTTAATTTATCTGATGTTTTAATACTTATTATCTTATTCCGGACTAAGAGAAATCCAAAAAATCAAATATCATAAAAATTGGTCCAGCCGTTCTTGAGTTATAAATGGTGTAACTAAGACGACTTTGATTTATACGTATATTTACCTTATTTTATATATTTTCTCTTTATTAAAACATTCCGTGTTTATATATAACCTTAAGGAACATACAAAAAAAAAATTAGCTGAATTGGTTTAGCCGTTCACGAGTTTTGCGCTTAGCAACTTTCATTTTTATTTTTATATAGAATATAATAAAAACGAAAGTATTTTTGCATTATAAAGTGCCATGCTCTACTATTAATCAAGCAATTTTCATAGGATTAATAGCTTTTGTATAAAGCTTTTGATTTTCGATATTCATACGTAGCACCGGAAGTTGTGGATATATTAAGGTTTATATCGATGATATGCTCTTAGTTCGCTCAAATCCTGAATAAATCCCGCGGGTCCTACGTAAATATTTGGAATACATTGTACAGTATACACATATCACTACTCAATAAGACTAGATAAAAGCATATGTTAGGGTTTTGGTTCTTTCTATTTCCTGTCCATTAGTGAAAGAATTTTCAGAATTGGTAACCTCAAATTCAAAAACTTAACCTCATATATATATATATATAGTTATTTGGTGAATCTTGTCATACAAGAATCTTTAGGTATATATGTTTACTTTTTTCTCCTTCAAAATATGCCTATATTAAACAAAAATATTACGTAAAATAATAAACTTTTTATACTTCAAAACAAGCTCGATTCGAAAGTTGAAATTTAAAACAAACACAGGCAAAGAATTTCTATAACAAGTTGCCATATTGCCAATCCCATGTGTTTTTCTTCTCGAAGGAACTACACTAATAATAAAGTTTGAGATTGAAACTTGAAACGGGATGCGAGATAAAAAATAGCCAATGTCTCTTTATAATCAAATTACGGGAAATTACGGGAGAGTCTCTGCCGTGACCATGGATGCTGTAAAGCATTCGAAACGTCGGGAAACAAAAATGCAAATAAATCCGCGACAAAATCCGAAAAGATAGTTTTATTTAAAATATTGAGTTTCTCGCCGGCTCTTCTCAGCAGAACTGCTTTCCAAGCCGGTGGTAGCTTCCTCACGGACTGACGCTCTTTAAAGTAAATTGACGATTCAAAAGTGTTTTTATAAGTCTAATTCAATCAAGTTTAATTTCATTTCATAATTTTTAATAGTACTTACTGTAGATTGTAATAGATTTCAGTAATCTATACATATAATAAAATTGTAACTAAGCCGAATCTGTACATTAAATATTTTTTGGAAAATCTTATTGAAATAAACATTATTATCGATACAGAGGCTGAATCTATAGTTTTTTATCTGCCTGTCTTTCTGTCTGTTACCGCATCACAGAAAAACCACTAAATGGATTTCAATGAAATTTGGTATGGTTATAGCTGGTTATCCGGGTATATATATATAGGATACTTTTTACCGCGGTACAATATCTCATTTATGAGAAAAAATACAAAAAAATTGCGATGTAAGAGTATACTAATATGTAAAACCTAAGATTTTGGTTTTTGGTCATCTGAACGCGGGCGGAGCCGCGGGCAATGCTAGTACTCGATATATTTATTTATTTATGTACCATAAAATATAAAATATATGTTTAAGAGAAAGTATGTGGACAAAGTACAACTTATGTCTTTAACAAATTTGCAGAAACCCTTCCTGTAAGTAAATTAGTTAATTTTGTGCCGGGTATGTATATATTAGCAATATTAGGTGGTATAATCATAATATTATAATATATCAGCGAATTATAATTACACAAATATTTATATGTACATTACACACGTTATACATCATAAATCCGTATAAACTAAACATACAGGCCTACATATGTACATATATATATTTACTTACATACATGCTTATATACTATAATTTATATCTGATTCTCTGCTGTACTAATATCTAAACATATAATAAAATTGTAACTAAGTCGAATCTGTACATTAAATATTTTTGGAAAATCTAATTGAAACAGACATTTTTATCGATACAGAGTCCGAATCTATAGTTTTTAGAATTTTTGTCTGTCTGTCTGTTTGTAACCGCATCACGAGAAAACCACTGGACAGATTTTGATGAAATTTGTTATGATGATAGCTGGTTATCCGGGTCAACATATAGGATATTTTGTATAAGAAAATGTCTCATTTCTGAGATAATACAAAAACTGCAATGTAAGAGTATACTAATATGTAAAACCTAAGAATTTGATTTTTGGTCTTCTGTACGCGGGCGGCGCCGCGGGCAATGCTAGTAATATTATAAATGCGAAAGAACTTTGATCTGCTTAAAAATGAAAGAGTATAGAGTAGTATGCCACGCGGTATCTTCACCAATTGTACATAGATTTTCATATTTACAAGATACTTAGTGCTTATTATATTAAATTCAAGTAAACAACTTGCATTTCAAACAACTTGTCTAATTAAAGGTGTGTTGTTTACGTTCATGTCTTGTTAAGTTTTTTTTGCTGATATATTAAAACTAGATTTTACTTATTATTTTTAGAAGTATTTAATTTTATACAAATAATTTAGACATTATATATATATATATATATATATATATATATAAAAGCACATTTGCAGGCCGACGAGGTGAGGTTCATCGGAATCGAGATCAAGTCCCGGAACCGATGGATCTCATTCTGGATTCCACTGTCGCTTACCATCAGGCGTCATGGAGTCATCTTGTCGAGCGACAATAAAAAAAAACATAAATGACTTAAATAAAATTGGAGGACATTAATGTAACTTTGTGAAACTATGTAGTACTTTTTACTACTTAGTTGGCTTTTGCCCGCGGCTTTGCTCGCGTGATAAGCGGGACGAAGTTAAAGGGTAGCTTATATCCGATCCCAGGACGCAATCTATGTCCTTGCCAAATTTTTATCCAAATCTGTCCAGCGGTTAAAGCGTGACAAGTTTCTTGTCTTTTCACATTTATAATTTAATTAGTATGGATTATTATTAAAAACAATATTTAGTTTTAAGAATATAGGTAAAAATAACTACCTATATTCTCAAAACTTCATATATAAATTTTTATCTGACTTCATACTTTAAATAAAAAAGCTATATTTTTTACACATTTTCTTTCTGAATTTCATTGACGGATATTGTTGTTATTTTTTATTTCCATTTGTAATATCCATATTAAATGTATTGTATTGTATTTACGCCTTGTTTAACCGTTACGTCCCGCTACTGGGCAGAATCCCCCTTCAACACAAGTGGGATCAGGCCATAGGCCACCATGCTGGCCAAGTACGGGCTGGTCGATTTCAGATGTCTTTCAAAAATTTTCTAGGTTCTCTCAGACATTCACAATATTTTCCTTCAACGCAAAGTAGATGGTAATCATGTTGGAAATGATTCGCACATGTAAATATCAGAGGTGCGATACCCGGGATTTGAACTCGCTTCACTCGGTTTACCACTGCCTGATCACAAAATATACAAATATTATATTATACAATTTATATCATATACGAGTACATACAAGCATTATAATGTAAAATTTAGTCAGAATTTCATTTCTATATTTTTAATTTAAGTTTTTTATTAGCCATTAGAGATAGAGCCAATGTAATATTTTGCGGTACAACAGTTGCCAAGTATAGATACTGTTAGAAGAATCAATACAATTTTATCCGAACAAAGGTGGGGGTCCCAATTTCCTTGTAACATGCTACGTGATGTACAAAATCGGCCGCAGGCTGGAGCTTCGGTAAATGATTAAAGATCGATTTTAATAGCAAAGAAAGTCATTTCGTAATTTGAAAGACATTTTGGGGTCAGAATTGCTCAAAGGTTGCATATTATATAATATATTATATATGATAAGGTCCCAACATATTTATTTATTTTATTTATTTATCAGTTGACACTGATACATCACATAAATTATTATTATTTTTTTAATATTGCCCTATTAAATTTATTCTATTGATATATAACTATTTTGATGACATGTTTGGACTCAGTTTGTAGTGACCCTACTTGCTGTGCCAGCGGTCGCAGGTTCGAGTCGCGCTGGGGGCATTCATTTGTTTGATGTGATGAATGTTTGTAGTTGTACTCCAGTTATGCTAAGATTCAATAGGATAATATGATATAATATTATATAAGTACGTTTTAACAGTTATTATGAAATACAAATCTTTGAATTTCTCGGCTTTTCTGTACTATAATATGCATGTATTATACATATTATAATATAGATATATATGTATAGATGTAGCTTAAAAGTTTGCATTTTTTTTAAACGCGCTAATTTGTGCAAAATATCTCTTTGTGTTTTTTAGCTTACTAACGACTCACCCACGCTCGCTTAGGTTCTTCTTTAGGTACGTTTTAACGGTTAGTTTGGAATAGATAGACTATATAGTATATATTATATATTTATATATAATAATACAATAATATGATGAGTTGTTATTAATTGTATTATAACATGTTCTTCCGTGGGAATGAGATAATCTCCCGCGGTAAAATGTAGCGTATGTCACTTTCCAGCCCTCGAACTATCTCCACACGATCACGCTTATTCGTCACTCTGTTTCGACGTGAAAGATGGACAGACAAACAAACAGTTAACAAACAAAAAAACACACTTTCACATTTATAATATAAGTATGGATTTATTATGCAAGGTCATGGGTTTCTTACACCAACCACATAATGACTTACGAGAGCGGAATAATTATACAAAATCACAAAACGCTTATAAATTATAAAGGTATAAAAATTTACGTTTCTTTTTTTTTTAAATACCTGCGATCAAAGCGAATGTTAAACAAAACCAAAATCACCATTGTAATAACGAATTTCCTGGCTAAATCTAATTTGTATCGTGAATAATAAAAAAGAATTAATTCAAACCGAATTATTAATGAGTTTTGGATGAAATGAATCTGAAACTCTTAATTTAGGAGTTATATTAAAATTTCGGTTGAAATCAATATCTTTATGAGTATAGTATATAGTGTAGTGAAATATAGGACATATTGGCACGTTTCTTGGTGTGTCACTTGGAGCCGATCAGAAAACAGGTTAATTATATAAATATTATTATTTATAAAACTAGTGACTCACCCTCGCTCCGCTCGGGTTCATCCCTAGTTAAGTTTTATTCTTTAGTATAGATTTCTCAGAGAAGAGATATTTTCCCGCAATAAAAAGTATCCTATATGTTGACCCGGATAACCAGCTATCATTATACCATCAAAATCTGTCCAATGGTTTTCTCGTGATGCTATATATATATATATATATATATATATATATATATATATATATATATATATATATATATATGTGTGTGTGTGTGTAAACAGCTGCGATAATTATTCATTTGTAGTAAAACAAATTAAGTACTTTAGACAATGTCAGTGGATAACTACAATCATCAATCACACTGGATTATAATTGATGTCATGTCCTGAGTAATTATTTGCTACAGAGTAAATTGTTTACAGAATCATGATTTGTATTATACTAACTTGTTCCTCTGACTCTGTCTGTTTGCTAAGAAATATATTTACATAGGCGTGATCCAAAACATGTTTTATTCAGCTATGACAATTTTTGGAATAAATTAAGTTGTTCTAACGATTAGGTAAATGACCAAATATCTTTATCTCATCTTCTTTTTTGCTTATCCTTTAAATTATGAAGTCTCTACTCTATATAATATATTATTATTTTGTCTTTCGATTTTTGCAAAAAATGTCTTTTCAAAATGGATAATAATGGATAATAATATTAAAAACACTAGCATTGCCCGCGGCTCCGCCCGCGTCCAGATGACCAAAAACCAAACTCTTAGGTTTTACATATTAGTATACTCTTACATTGCAGTTTTGTATTTGTTCTCAGAAATGAGATATTTTTCCGCGGTAAAAAGTATCCTATATATTGACCCACATAACCAGCTATTACCATACCAAATTTTATCAAAATCCCTCCAGTTGTTTTTCTGTAATGCGGAAACAGACAGACAGACAAAAATTCTAAAAACTACAGATTCGGCCTCTGTATCAATAATAATATTTATTTCAATTAGATTTTCCAAAAACTATTTAATGTACAGATTCCGCTTGGTTACAATTTTATTATATGCATAGATAACATTGTAAAACCTATTTACATCTTGTTTTAAAATTTTACGTTTTTCCACTATTAGCAAAGAAATGATTAAATTTCTAAAAAAAATTAAATTAAATTGCTCTATACTTTATGCATATTGCTTCTTGCAATTTTGTTCATAATTAGAACAAAATCTTGATTAATATTAGTGTATTTATATGGTTTTTGTTCAACCACAAAATTCAACGCTATAATCAGTGGTAAAGCTACAAATGGAACACAATTCAAACAATGGCAACTAATGATATTTGAATGTGAAAGCTTGTTAAAACACTTTACTGTGTCAAAGAAGAAATAATTCAGTCCAATTTTCACCTGCGTTACATTTTGAAATCTTGTTATCGTTTCGTAAACATTCGTTCTGTTGAAGTGAGTTCATTTTACTGCAATTGCTCTTAAAAAATTAAGCTGTTTGAACAGCTTATTAGTACCAAATTATGGCCTTGTAGGTAAATGGAATGATAATATTCTAGCAATTCTACGTTTGAATCCTGCTTGTGTAATATATTCAAGCTGTTATCTGTACGTAAACAAGCCTACATTAGGTTTGATTCGTTTTTTTTAATAATTGTAGTCCGCAGTGGTAGACAACACGTTTGGCTCAGTTTGTAGTGACCCTACTTGCTGTGCCAGCGGTCGCGTGTTCGAGTCCTGCTGGGGGCATTCATTTGTGTGATGACGAATGTTTGTACTCCAGTCATGGGTGTTTAAATTTATTATATGTATGTATTTACGTTTATATATATTGTAAAGTGTATCAACTACCTGGTATCCATAACACAAGCCATGGAACTAGATGGTTCTGTGTGTTAATGTCCCAACATATTTATTTATTATTTATTATTTTAAATAGTTTTATCCATTGTTACTTAATATTTCACATTATCTAGACTCTTCTTATGTCATAATCAAGTTTGTAAGCTTCAAAACATATCCTAAATATCCACAAATGTTTATCTGTTGTTTAAATAAAATAAAAGTTTGTTATATAGTTTGTGTGATATGAGTGGATAATAAATATTCCCAATCTTGATTTATACCTAATAAAAAATATCTTTTTTATACATATTATAATTATCTATTCTTCCATTCTAATATTATAAAGAGGAAAAAATTTTTTTTTTGTATGTTTGTATCGAATAGGCTCGTAAACTACAGAACAGATTTAGTGAAATTTGGTAAGAATATAGTTTGAGACCCTGGGAAGGGCATAGCATAGTATGTATCCCGGAAAACATCCCTTAAGAGGGTGAAAATGGGGGTAAAATTTGTATGGAAAAGCAACCTATATTATTATTATCTATTTATTATTATTTAAATTACCTGTAATTTTTCTGCATAATATACAAGGCTGGCAAATATCACGATGCCGAGGACCAGAAAAAACACCAATAAGGTCAATTCTTTTGCTGATGCTTTGAAGGTGTGGACCAAGATCTTCAACCCTGGGCTGTGCCTCGTCAGCTTGAACAGTCTGAGGATCTTGATAATAGAGATGAACTCCAAGATATCAGCTTTGCTTACATCTCTCTCTACCACAGTAAGTTCCACTACAACGTCCATATAGAAACTTAATGTGGCTATAAAATCTATTATATTTACTGGCGATTTGACAAATTCTATTATATTTGGGGCTACCTGGAACAAAAAATAATAAATTTATTTAGAAACTTTGAATTAAGACGAAAAATATATTAAAAATAAGAAGTATTTAGCCCTTTTTAGCTTCCCACTGCCGGGCACGGGCCTCCCTTCAATACGTCCCACGTATTAGGCCATAATTGTGGACTTCACATAGCTTTCGAAAACTTGCTAAGATTCAAAATGTTAATCATGTTAGAAACGATTAACACATGAAAATATCAGAAGAGCGAGACCGGGTATTTGAATCCGCTCATTCAGTTTCTCAAGCGAGTGCGATACCACTATCACTGCCTAGGACTAGAACTAACACTGCCTTTTTTTAAGATACAATATCAATTTATATTAATAATTAGGCATGATACTTTCTTAAATTTACGCGAATATTTGACATTTTAAATAAAACTATCGTTTCGGATTTTTTCGCGAATTTATTTTGATTTTTGGTTCCCGACGTTTCGAATGCTTAACAGCAATCATGATAACGGGAGAGACTGAGGTGTTAGATGTCTCGAAGGTATTACGAGTAAATAGTTATTATAGACAGACTACCCACAAAATAACAAAATGAATTCAAAAAATTGAAAAATGGCACCAAAGTACCTTACAATATTTGTTAATTTAATTTTAAAACATTTTTATATCATTTTAATTATTTTTATATAAAAAAATTAATCTAACACCTTAGTCCTTATTCTCGTGACCATGATTGCTGTAAATCATTCGAAACGTCGAGAACCAAAAATCAAAATAAATTTGCGAAAATATCCGAAAAGATAGTTTTATTTAAAAAATCAGGCATAATATAAATTTCTATTAGTGGAAAATTATTAGACTCAGTCAATAGCTCTAGAATCCAGATTATCTCCAAGTCAAACTAATTTTACTTCTTTATAATAGTGGGGATTAACGAGTCATTCTCATTACTCCCAAGTATCGACGCTTCAATATATATATATAAAAAATATCGTATATGTTGACTCGGATAACCAGCTACCAACATACCAAATTTCATTAAAATCTGACCAGTGCTTTTCTCGTGATGCATGTCCAGACATACGGACAAAAATTCTGAAAACTAAAGATTAGGCTTCTGTATCGATAATAATATTCAATAAGATTTTCCAAAAATTATTTAATGTACAGATATGATTTAGAATTTTGTTATATAAATGAAAATAGTTTTTTTAATATATATTTCTTTTATTCGTCTTTAATTGAATATGATGAAACTTTGGTGGATCGATGTACGTACGTCTGCGAAGGTTTCAGGCACGTTTTTATGTTTGTCAAGGCAGATAAGTTTGTGTTTTATGCATTCTCAAATCTTTAAACGGTAAATCCCTAGTTAAATATATAAATCTAATTGCACTATAAGAATAATCTCTACTTAACATTATAAAAAGGCAGAGTTTGTTTGAACGCACTAATCTTAGGAACTACTAATCCAATTTGAAAAATTCTTTTTGCATTAGATAGGCCATTTATAGAGGAAGGCTATAGGCTATATTATAATATAATATTTATTCTATCTGTTCTATGATACCTATCGTTAAAACCTACCTAGAGATGAACCCGAGCGAAGCAAAGGTGAGTTGCTAGTACATTACTATTTACGTATCATCCGAGCAATCTTCACTTGACGACACGTTTGGCTCAGTTTGTAGTGACGCTGCATGCTGTTCTAGCGGTCGCGGGTTTGAATCCCGCTGGGGACATTCCTTTGTGTGATGAGCACGAATGTTTGTACTCCAGTCATGGGTGTTTATATTTATAATATGTATGTATTTAAAGTTTTATATGTGTAGTGTATCAACTATCTGGTATTCATAACACAAGCCTCGTAGCTTACCATGGAACTAGGTAGTGCTGTGTTAATGCCCAAACATATTTATTTATTTATTATTTACTTGAAATCCGAAGAGATGATTAAAATATGAACTAGAGTTAAGTTAGCAGTTAACGCCAAACAATATAAGTTCAGCATAAGCCGATATTGTGATAATGCATTCGCTCGTAAAGCTATGAATATTAAAAACTTCATTAGATCGAAGTATAAGATTATCTTATAAAGTCTTATTTATGTATTTAAACACTTTATTGAACAGTAAATGGTCCATAAAAATAAAAAAAAAACTACGTTTAAAAAAACCGACTTCAAAAACTAAAAAGTATAAAATAACTTGATAAAGATTTAATTTAATACACCTCTTATGCAAACCTTTAATATTAATCTATATATATGATAAATAAGCCGAATTTAAATATTTTTTTGGAAAATCTTATTGAAATAGACATTATTATAGATACAGAGGCCGAATCTATAATTTTTAGAATTTTTGTTTGTCTGTCTGTATGTGTGTTACCGCATCACAGAAAAACAGCTGGTTATCCGGGTCAACATATAGATACTTTTTACCGCGGGAAAATGTCTCATTTCTGAGAAAAACTACAAAAACTGCAATGTAAGAGTATACTAATATGTAAAACCTAAGAATTTTGTTTATGACCATCTGAACGCGGGCGGAGCAGCGGGCAATGCTAGTACAATACTATTATTTGTATGTGCTACCTATTGATAGGTTTGAAGTCGGTTTCAAGCCAAATGTAATAGTAGGTACTTACACTCGCCGCGATCTGAGAAATCTATACTAAAGGCACCGACTTCAAACCTATCAATAGGTATCTATCACTATAATAATAACTATATTACTGTTCGATTATATATTAATTAGATGATATGAATATTGGATTAGATGATAGAGATTAAGATTATGTAATTATAATATCTATTACAATTTTATATTATGTTTTTAACGCATTATATTATGTAGCACGCCAGTCGTGCTACACAAAATATTTATAAATACATTGTGCACCTTTATGTATGTATATTTTAAATCTGTATAAAGTCAAGGCGAGAACGTGGTAAGTCTTCTAATATAAAGCATAACGTAAATTTTGCTGCATTTTTCGAGCACTCTAACAAATTAGTCTACTGTAGTAAACGTGAGCTTAAAGTAACTTAGGCAAATTAAGTTGCAACTTAGGATGTCTCAAATTTTTTGATAATTTAGTTAAAACTTTTTACTCATCAGTTTTGGATGAAAAATAAATAGATTTTTTTAATTTTTTTGGTTGATTCCCCGTTCAAAATTTCATCCCCACTTTCACCCCCTTAAGGGATGATTTCCGGGATTAAAAATATCCTATGTCCTTCCTAGGATCTCAAACTATCTTCTTAGAAAAATTCATCTAAATCGGTTCAATAGATCCAGAGATTACCCCTTAAACGTCACAAACACACAAACTTTACCTCTTTATTATATTATAGATAAGATCAAAAGTTCTATTAACTAAACCCGATATTATTAGGTTGGTTTGCATTGTGATTTTTTAAATACATAATGGAATCTCATTCGTAACGCATTTGCTTGAAAAACCAAGTGAAAGTGAAGTGGGTTCAAACCTCACGTTTTCATGTGCGAACTATTTTTAACTGGCGAACATGATTGCCACTTGCCTTATGGTAAAGAAATATCGATAGAAAACCTGAATGTCTGAGACAACCTAATTAGTTGTCAAAGGCATTACAAGTTCGCTAACCCGCCCTTAGCTAGCATGATGGACTACGGCCTGATCTCTTTCACTTTGAGTTCCATCAGTAGGACGGTAAAAAGGGTTGAACAATAAATAATAAACTGTCTGGTTCATACAAATAACCTATTTATTAGACCGATAGTTTATTGTGACGTTTACTTTTTCAGAGAAAGTTATATTTCCTCTAACTTTCATAGCATATTTGATTGATTTCCAATAGACAAGAAACTTGCAATGAATAAAATTGTACTAATGAAGTAATTTACGTATAACGACAAATAGTATTCAGTCCGTTTTAACGTCCCTCTGCTGGGCACGGGTCTCCCTTCAATACGAGGAGGATCAGGCTATAGTCCACCACGCTGACCAAGTGCGGGTTGGCGGACTGCACATGTCTTTCGAAAACTTGTTAGGTTATCTTAGACAGGCAAGTTTTCTTACGATGTTTACCTTCACCGTAAGGCAAGTGGTAATCATGTTGAAAATGATTCGCACATGAAAATATCATATAACGAGACCCGGGATTTAAACCCGCTTCACTCGATCACGCAAGCGAGCGTGTCACTACTGGAATACCACTGCCTCAGAGAAATAACTTTTTTCACATTATCTCAAAACTAAGTTTCGTATCCGTCTTATCAAATCTTCTCACCAAAGGTTGTCTGATAGAGATTGCTTTTATCAATAAGACCGCCTTTGTGTGATTAATTTACTTTATCAAACAACATGTGTACTTTTTTTAATATTGCGTGATCAATAAAAAATAATATAATTAATAAATAAGAATAAGTCACAATATTGTTCTTTGGAAGTGTCAAATAAAGGCAAAGGTGTTTTTTTAGGGTATCGTATCGAAAAGGCCAAACGGATAGCTAATAATTTCATCACGGTATCCCTATGGTAAAGCCAGTTGACTCGAAGACTATCTTACTAATATTATAAATATTATAAATGTTTAGATATTTGGATGCTTGGATGGATGATTGTTACTCAACCACGCTAGAACGGCTGAACGAATCTGAATGAAATTTGGCCCAGACATACATTGTAGTCTGGAATAGTACATAGGTTACTTTTTATCCCGGAAAAATGTATGGTTCCCGTGGGATACATTTTTTGGGCTTCGCCGCAGTCGGGTTAAAAAAGCCGTAAACAGCTGTTAGTTTATAGGTAAAATATTCCAAATAATTTTCAATTCAATTAAACATAATTGAAGCAAATTACGAATATTATACTAGGTAATATTATATTAATATTACCTAATAACGCTTGGTAGCTATTTGATTCAATCTATTGGTAATAATAGGATTGAGTTGTTTCATATTCACGTTTGATGAATATCACGTGATATTCACTTTGAACGAAACCGATCATTAATGTACTCGTAGCGAGTATGT